AATTCCACTGTGTTTTTTTTTAATATCCAGTAGATCCTTTGTAAAATCTTTTGAAAAACATTACATTCCGAGGCTCAAAAAAAGTCCACATTTTCTGACCTGATACCTTTTTTAGAAATCGTTTTAAAAACCCTTAAATCTTTGCCCAGCACATCCTCTTATCCACTTTTTTCCTTGGCTCAAGGATCTTTTCAAAAAAATCTTTCAGAAATGTCCTTAATAACATTCATTGACCAAGAGTTAAAAGAGATTAAAAACCTCCCTTTTTACAAACCAAAGGACTCTTCCCGAAAGTTCCCTTGAAAGGAATGGTTTGAAATTCTTCAAAATAGGAAAATAAGGCTTCTCAAATTCCACCGTTGTTTTTCAATATCCTGTGAGTTCTTTGTAAAATTTTCTGAAAAACATTGCATTCCGAGCCTCAAAAAAAGTCAACTTTTGTTGGCCCGATTTTTTCGGAAATCCCACTTAAAAAATCTTCAAGTTGCTGTCCTGGATATTCTATCAGAAACTTTCTACCCAAACCTCAAGGATCCCTCCGAAAATTCTCTCAGAAGTGGCCCAAAAAAACATTCATTGGCCAAAAGTATCAAAATCTTCATAAAACCTCTCTGATTATTACCCTGAGTACTTTTCCCAGAAGAGCCCATCAAAAAAGTTGCTTTGGTATCCTTCAATTTACCAAACATCCTCAGCTTCCACCGCTACTCATAAAAAATTCTCTTTAAATAACTATCAAATAGTTACGGCATTTGAAACTGATACCAACTGATTATGAATGGAAAAAATTGCCATATTTTCAAGCATTTGTGGTTTTTACCCTCTTCCCCGCTCCTTCTCTTTCCCCTCCACCAATTTCCCAAAAGCCGAACACAAAAAGGAAGCCCTTCTTCTGAGGAAAAGTAGAGCACTGTTTCTTTTTTCTGGCGGCTTCCTTGCCAAAGATCAATTGAAGGTGAAGCGTCGCTTATTAAGCTCATTATGGCATTACAGAAAATAGTTTGCCGTTCGTTTCGCTTTCTGCTCTTGTGAAATTTTGCAATTCGTAACAAGTTTGTTGTTGGCCCAATGCAAAGGATGGATGGTTGGATGAATAGATGGCAAGGCGGCAAGGTGGAGAGGCAACGAAATCCTCTTATGTTTGGTTAATTAAATCAAAGTTGTTAGGGCGCTAGAGCAGATGCTTTAAAAATGTAGTTAAATTTCATGGGAAGGTATTACCCACCCACCTCCTGGCGTATGATTGATATTAATTACATTTTGGTAGAACATCACGGCGTATGAGAGTTGTGAACAATGACACGTTACACATACGCCTGAGTTCAGGGGAACATTAAATCAACTTCAGTGAAGTGTCTCTCTCCCACTCTCTCTTTCTCTCCCACTCTCTTTTGGAAAATAATTACAACTTTTCAACTAATAATTTCAGTATTCGCCGAAATGCAAAATCCTATTTTGTATTCAACATTACAAGCGAAGCGCATTATTTTGTCCTGAAGGTATCTTGCTCCCGCAAGGGGAATTACACAGGAAACTTCTTACACGCATATGTTTTCCACGAAACTAATTTCCATTTCGAACACTCTCCCCCCCCCCCCCCCCTGCTTCCATTCTTGACGGAGAATAACAAAAGTTCCTGAGATGTCGCTGTCGGTGGTGTTAATTTATCAGACACACAATACGGTTTTGTTGTAAACCGCAAAATGTTTTGTGGCAATTATTTGTTCTTTTGTTGTTGTTGATATAACAAGCACACACACACACACACACACAAACACAACAGCACCATCTACCGCATGTATTGCTAACAGCAACGACAAACAATTGCCACAACAGCATGCGGCAAACACCAACAGCAGCAGCAGTAGTCGCCTTTATCCTCCCTCCTACCACTTGGTCCAAGAATTCCATTGCACTAAATGTTGTGCGTCCCATCCCTGGCCCGCTGCAGCAAGTGAACAAACAAAAAAACAAAGTACATTTTGCTGCGTGTAATGTGGTCACGCATGTGGCAAAGACAGGGAAACAAGAGCGCGATTTTGCCGATTCGCCGTGTTCGCCAGCCGGTGTGTTAAACAATAACCAAAGCAAATGTCATGCGAGAAAATGCAAAAATATGCGGAGCTACAGGCAAAGGGCTGATGCATTGAGATGGGTAAGGGAAGCCAGATTTCAGAGATGGATCTTGGAAAAAACAAAGAAGAAAGCAAAGGCTATAGTCGTGCGTGTCCTACCATGTGATACCCTATAGCTTGTCTGCGATAGAGGCCGCTGAAGCCACCTACTCAGTTACTCTACGAAAGAGGCCTATGAGACCAGCTACTCTACAGTATTGGCCTCTGAGACTTGTTAGTCTACAGTAGTGTTCTCTGAAGCCAGCTACTCTATTATAGAGAACTTTTGGGCAAACTACTCTAACATAAAGGACTTTGAGGCCTTCTTCTTTACAATAGGAGTCTCTGAGGCCAATTACCCTCCTCTTGTAAAGGCCTCTGAGGCCAGGTACATTACAGTAGAGGCCTCTACGGCCAAAGACTTTATTTCTTCTGAGTCCAGCTACTCTGCGTAGAGGTCTATTAGGCCAGATACTCTACAGAAGAGATCGCTGAGGCCAGTCTCCCTAAAGTAGGTGTCTCTGAGGTCAGCTACTTTACAGTAGAGGCTTGTAGGGTCATTTACTTTACAGTAGAGTCCTCTGAGACCAGTTACTTTCGGAAGATTCTGAGACCTGCTACTTTACAATAGGAGTCTCTGAGGCCAGCTACCCTCCTATAAAGGCCTCTGAGACCAGGTACATTACAGTAGAGGCCTCTATGGCCAACTACTTTACTTCTTCTGAGTCCAGTTACTCTGCGTAGAAGCCTGTTAGGCCACATACTCTACAGAAGGGATCGCTGATGCCAGCTTCTCTACGGTAGGTGTCTCTGAGGTCAGCTACTTTATAGTAGAGGCTTGTAGGGTTATTTACTTTACTTTACAATAGGAGTCTCTAAGGCCAGTTACCCTCCTGTAAAGGCGTCTGAGGCCACGTGCATTATAGTAGAGACCTCTACGGCCTGCTACTTTACTTCTTCTGAGTCCAGTTAATCTGGGCAGAGGTCTGTTAGGCCAGATACTCTACAGAAAAGATCGCTGAGGCCAGCCTCTCTGAGTTAGGTGTCTCTGAGGTCAGCTTCTTTACTAGAGGCTTCCAAGGCCATCTACTTTACAATAGGCGGGTTTGAGACCAGGTACTCTTCGCTTTAGACCTCTTAGGACAGCCACCTATTAGTAGAGGCCTCTAAGGCCAGATACTTTAGCCAGTAGTGTCTTCCGAGGCCAGCAAGTCTGATGTAGAGGCATCTGAGGCTAACTACTCTACGCTAGAGGCCTCTGAGGCCAGCTACTTTACAGAAGGGGCCTCCGTGATCAGCGATCCTACAGTAAGCGCCTCTGAAGCCAGCTACTTGAAGGTAGAAGACTCTGAGGCCAGCTATTCTACGGTAGAGCCCTCTGAAGCCAGCTACTTTACAGAAGGGGCCTCCGTGATCAGCGATCCTACAGTAGGCGCCTCTGAAGCCAGCTACTTGAAGGTAGAAGACTCTGAGGCCAGCTACTCTAAGGTAGAGGCCTCAGATGTCAGCTACTCTAAGATAGAGGCCTCAGATGCAAGCTACTCTAATTTAGAGAGACATCTAATGACAGCTATTTAATGTAGAAGACTCTGAGATCAGCGATCCAACAGTAGTCGCTTCTGAAGCCAGCTACTTTAAGGTATATGACTCTGAGGCCAGGTACTCTAAGGTAGAGGCCTCAGATGCCAGCTACTCTAATTTAGAGGCCAGCTACTCTACTGTAGAGGACTCTGAGGCCAGATACTGTATTTTAGAGGCATCTAATGACAGCTATTTAATGTAGAAGCCTCTGAGATCAGCGATCCTACAGTAGTCGCCTTTACAGTAGAGGCCTCCAAGGCTGGCTACTTTACAACAGAGGCTTCTGAAGACAGCTACTTTACAGTAGAGGCCTCTGACGATAACTATTTTACTTTAGAGCCTTCTGAGGTCAACTATTCTACAGTAGTGGCTTCTGAGGCCATTTACTTTAGAGGAATCTAAGGGCAGCTATTATATGATAGAGGTCTCTGAGGCTAGCTACTATACTCCGAGCCCAGCCACTCTACGCTAGAGGCCTCTAAGGCCAGCTACTCTGTGCTAGAGGCCTGTAAGGCGAGCTACTCTATGGTAGAGGCCTCTGAGGCCAGCTACTTTGCAGGTATCTAAGGCCAGCTACTATACGATAGAGGTCTGTGAGGCCAACTACTCTACTGTAGAGGAATCTCTGGTCAGCTTTTCTACGGAAGAGGCCTCCAAGACCAGCTACTCTACGGTAGATTCCTCTGAGGCCAGCGTCTCTACTGTAAAGGCCTCTTTACGGTAGTGGATTCTGAGACCAGCTACTCTACTGAAGAGGCATCTGAGGATAGCTTCTTCACGGTAGAGGACTCTGAGGCCAACTACTTTACAGATCTGAGACCAGCTACTCAACAGTGGGGGTCTCTGAGACCGGCTTATCTACCGTAGTGGCTTCTGAGGCCAACTACTTTAGAGGAATCTAAGGGCAGCCATTATGGGATAGAGGTCTCTGAGACTAGATACTCTACTGTAGAGGCCTCTGAGGCCAGCTACTCTTCGATAGAGGCTTCTAAGGCCACCTACTCTTAGATAGAGGCCTCTGAGGTCAACTTCTCTACGGAGTTTCAGGAAAATAAGTTCAAAGGTAATTTTTCAAAATCCTTATGCGTTGTGGAGCCCTCTCCACCTCATTTTGCATATGTTTTTTTTATGGAAATCAAACATGAGAAAGCTTTTAAATTCAAATATCGAAAGATGAGATGGTGAAAATTCCGGTATATGGAATTCAGATATCTTTTTTCGCGTAAATTTCGTTTTAAAAAATTCAACAATAGATGTAGGTATGTAAGTGTGTATATTTATATGTATTCGTAATGTATCTTCCGTATGCAAAAAAAATCCAAGCAGGCTAACATTGACATTGCCATGGAGTGTCCCGTGGCCCACAAACCCCCCACACCACCACTATCACGGTGTATGTATGCGATTGTCATGTGTGCGGTAAGACAAGTGCGATCTGTGAAAAATAATCACACACCAGGCTTGCTGTGTTTTTTGTGAGTGTATACGTGTGTGAGTGTGTGTGTATGAGTGTCGGTGAGTGGGAAAACAAGGTATCCACCAGAGTAAAATAAACAATGAATGGACTCCACAATCGCCGTCGTCGTCGTCGTGGTGGTAGCGTTGGTGGTTGTGATGGTGGTGGTGGTGGCTGAGGACATCCTGCTACCAGCGGCTGGCTGGATCTGCCAACCGCTAAACGAATTGTGGTGTAAAGACATTGTCAATGGCAATGTTGCCATTAAAACTTACACAAAGAAGCAAATGACAACAATGGCTGGGTATGGGCAACATTCCAGAGCAAAAGCAGCAGCAGCGGCAGCAGGGGCTGCAGGTGGGGATTCTGTGGCTTCCTGATGAAAAAAATGCAGCATCTCCAGGAGAGGGAGCCAGGAAGCCCATTTGGAAATTGAATTGTTTAAATTATGCCCGGAATTTATTAGCGTAAAAAATATTTCAAGTTTTTAGGAAAATTAAAAATAAATTATAAATTTTTATGTTTGGATGGCGCCCAACGTGGGGCAGTTGTTTTTTTTAAATCATAACTAATTGGAAGAGGGAATTGAGAGACTAAATTAAATATTTATAAAAAAAAAACTGTTGCAATTTTATTTGTCCCTCAAATTTCCAACTCATACCATCACCAGCCCTCCTCCTACAGTTATTCGGAACTTATTTCTTTAATTACTTTTTTTGTCTGTTCTACAGAAACTACTTCGAGAGCAATTAAATTTATTTTTCTTTCACTTTTGAAAATTAAATTATCTCCAGTTCTTTTGCCATTGCAGTGCTACCCTGCCCCCTCCCACCTCTCTCTCTCCCACTCCCTTGCCCTACTCTCCCACAATGAAAAGTGAAATCTAGATATAATTTAAAACTAAAGCCAGCTCTCTTCATGTTGCAATGTAATTTAATTTCTGTTCTCGGTTTTTTCGCAACAACAAGAAAAAGAAAACTGCAGCAGTTTTTCCTTTCAATTCCGTCATTACGTGAAACTTGGCTGCTGTTGCTGCAGCAATGTAAAACCAGATGAATGTGCAACTTTGTGCCCCGGGAAGAGAGTGAGGGACATAACTCTATTACAACACTTGCACCTTGGGTTTTTCCATAGATGAACCCTCTCCCCCATTCCTCTTCGTAGAATATTTGTATGCTTGAACCTACGCCCCCTCTTCGCACCCTCTTCAATTTGGGTCAAAAATGTTGCACTGTGTAATTTGATTACACTTTGTATTTGATTCCAGTTTATGTGTCGCTTGGCTGCATTTAAAGCGCATCATTTTTGTGTTTTATTTCCAATTTTTGTTGGTGTTGTTGTTGCTGAATTTCTGTGCCAGGTATTCGTAGAGCATGAAACTGCATTTGTGGGGAGAGCGTATAGCCGGGGGATAAAACAATATAAGTTTGACATCAAAACACAAAATGTTCCTTCATGCTTGAGGTCAGTTTGAAGGGGGGTATTTTTGTAAAGCTTTAAATCTATGTTACCCAGAGGTGGGCGTTTGGATGGTATATAATCTCCCAGCCATGGCCTAAAGAGATACAGGATCAATGCCTCTCTTCACATTTCAAATGTTGGGCAATTCTGGGAAATTTTATGGCGGAATTTGCCATTAGGGATTTGAAATAATTTAAAAAATATTTAAAAAATAAAATCATCAAATCAAATTTCAGATTTAAGGCTATTTGTATCTCTCTATATTTAAAAAATCCATAATAAAAGAGTAGGAAAATGATATAAGTGTCGGCCGCACACTTATATCATTTTCCTACCATGAGATACCCTACAACACTATAATCAAAGACCTCAAACACCTGTCATTCCTATAATATATCGGAAAGACACCCTGAGGTCATTTATTATACAGTAGGGAAGTCTGAGGTCAGATGATCTACGCTAGAGGCCTCTGACACATGCTACTTTACAGTAGAGGTCCCTGAGGAATGCTACTTTACAGTAGAGGCCTCTGAGGCCAGTTAGTTTACGGCAGAGGCCTCTCAGGCCAGGTAAAGGCCTCAAAGGCTAGCTACTCAGCTATAGAGGTCTCTGCGGTCAGATACTTTACGTAAACGTCTCTTAGGCCATTTAATCTACAGTAGGTCCCTCTGAAGCCAGCTACTTTACAGCAGAGTCTCCTAAGGCCAGCTATTATACAGAAGTGGCTTCTTAAACCAGCTACTCTGCAGTAAAGGCGTCGGAGGCCAGCTATTTTACAGTAGAGGCCTCTGAGGCCACCTACTTCACATTAGAGACCTCTGATGCCAGCTACTTTACGGTAGAGGACTCTAAGGCCAGCTTCTTTACAGTAGATGCCTCTAAGGAATGGTATTTCACAGTAGAGGCTTCTGAGACTTGCTAATTCACTGTAGAGGCCTCCAAGACCATATAACCTACGATAGAGGCCTCTGAGGTCAGCTACTTTACATCAGAGTCTCCTAAGGCCAGCTATTATACAGAAGTGGCTTCTGAAACCAGCTACTCTGGAGTAAAGGCATCTGAGGCCAGCTATTTTACAGTAGAGGCCTCTGAGGTCGGCTACTTTACATTAGAGACCTCTGATGTCAGATACTTTACGGTAGATGTCTCTAAGTCCAGCTACTTTACAGTAGATGTCTCTAAGGCATATTACTACTCCACAATATAGGCCTCTGAGGCCAGCTGCTCTACAGCAGAGGCTTCTAGGTCCATCTTCTTAATAGTAGACGCCTCTGAGGTGATCTACTCTACGGTGGAGGCCTCTGAGACCAACTAGTCTACGGTAGAGGCTGCTAAGACCAGCTGCTTTACAGTAGATGCCCTTAGGCCATCTACTCTACGGAAGAGACCTTTGATACATTACTCTTTACTGTAGATGCCTGTAAAACCAGCTGATTTACACTCTGAGGTCACCTACTCTACTAAAGTAGCCTCTGCGGCTGAATATTGTGCAAAAGATGGCTCTGAGACATGCTACTCAGTAGAGACCTCTGAGGTCATCTACTTAACAGTAATGGGTATCTGAGGCCAGCTACTATAGTAGAGGCTGCTGAGGAGAACTACTCTACGGTAGAGAATGCTGAGACCAGCAACTCTAAAGTAGAGACCTTTAAGGCCATCTACTTTACAGTAGAGACCTCTGAGGTCAGCTACTCTACTGTAAAGGTCTCAGAAGCGAGCTACTCTACGGTAGAGGCCAGCTACTTTACGGTAAAAGCCTCTGAGGTCATCTACCTTAAAGTAATGTACTCTAAAGCCAGCTAGTCTCCTGTAGAGGCCTCTAAGGTCAGCTACTCTACTAAAGTGACCTCTGATACATGAGTTTTTACTGTAGTGGCCTGTAAAGCCAGCTAATTTACACTAAAGCCCTCTGAGGCCTACTACTTTACAGTAAAGGCCTCTGAAGCCAGCTACTCAACAGTAGAGGCCTCTGTGGCAAGCTACTCTACAGTAGAGACTTCTAAGGTCAGTTTTTATATAGTAGAGGCTTCTGAGGGCAGCTATTCTACAGTAGGGGCCTCTTCAGCTAGATATTTTACAATAGATGCCTCTGAGGCATTCTGCTTTATAATAGAGGCCTCTGAGGCATTCTACTCTACGGTAGAAACCTCTGATGTCAATCACTCTACTGTAGAGGCCCCTGACGCCAACTACTTTACGGTAAAAGCCTCTGAGGTCATTTACTTTAATGTACAGTACTCTGAGGCCTCCTACTCTACTGTAGAGGGCTCTGAGGTCAACTACTCTACTGTAGAGGGCTCTGAGGTCAACTACTCTACTGAAGTGACCTCTGCAGCTAGATTTCTTACAGTAGATGCCTCTGAGGCATTCTACTATACTGTAGTGGCCTCTGACGCCAACCACTCTACTGTAGAGGCCTCTGAGGTCAGCTACTTTAATATAGAGTACTCTGAGGTCAGGTACTCTACTGTAGAGAGCTCTGTGGTCTACTGTGAGAGCTCTTGTGATGGCCTCTGACGCCAGCCACTTTACGGTAGAGTGCTTTAAGGCCAGCTACTCCATTGTACAGGGCTCTGAAGTCAGCTACTCTACTGAAGTGGCCTCTGAGGCCACATACTCTGCCATAGAGGCCTCTGACGCCGGCTACTCTACGATGGAAGCCTTTGAGGCTAGCTACTCCAAAGAAGAGACTTCGCAGATTAGCTACTCTACAGTAGGGGTCTCTGAGGTCAGTAAACTTACGGCAGAGGCCTCTGAGCAAACTACTTAACAGTAGAGGCCTCTGAGGTCAGCTACTTTTTTATAGAGGTCTCTTAGGTCAGCTATTATGCAGCAGTTGCCAGCTATTTCAATTGAAATTTTGGATTTTTTTACACAAAAGTTATGGTCCATTTCACCTCTAAATATTTTCCGATGACCACTCAATTTGGTAGGCATCTTCCTTGTGCTAAACATTTCTCCCATGAGAAGTTCGACGTCGATTAGTCTTTAATTGTGACTTGCAAAGCGACTGCAAAATCAAGACCATTTGTAGCCCTAAAAATTTTGGGAATATCTTCAAAAATAAATGCCTTTCAATCTGACCCTAGTTTACCCCCCATAAAAAAATTCCGTGAGGATCGGACAATAATTGCGAAATGTAAAAATTTTTGGAATATCTTCCAAAATAAATGATAAAAATAAATGTCTTCCAAACTGACCCTAATTTACCTCCCACAAAAAAATTCGTGAGGACCGGACCATAATTGCGACCCGTAGCGTGATTCCAAATTGACATGGACAGACGGTGTGACGGTGACGGTGAGATAGGAAGATCAATTTACAACTCGTGGGTCTAGGACCAATATTTCGCGGTGTTACAGAATTGTTAGCCCAATCAAACTTCTAATGTCTCCAACGTAAATTGTGTGGTATAAAAATCGCGTTCTAAGTTCTGGAAGAAATATTTAAAAAATCCACATTGGTCCTACAATAAGTATCAAAAATATAAGTGATGGCCATTGAAAAATATTTTTTTTTTAAATATTCACGTTTATTGATCTGCTCGTAGAAATATTTTTTCTAACTATCCAAGTTTTTTGGTTTGAAAGTCATTGAAATTATCCCTAATATCCTTTGCCACAAGGCTATTCCTTTGGCAGCTCCATTATCTTTTTATTACTCCACTTGAATTCGAACTTATGTTTCGGTTGAGTGAATAGCAGCTGCATTGTCGCCATCATCATTATCGTTACTTATTACTAATAAAGCTAGTTGCTGCCTCCTTTCGCTCTCTCTCTCTCCATTTCTCTCTGATTCCCTTTCTCTTGCGTCTCATCCATTTATTTATGGCTTTATCTGGTTTAAACTTTTTTCTCACCCTTCTCCCACAAATAGGAGCAGCTTTTTTGGGGTGAATGGGAAATAAAGGAACTATTTGAAAAATTATGACTTGGTAAATAAATATCAGCTAACAAACAGGAAGCAAGGACTACATGAAGAAGGAGAACAACAACCAGGACGATGGCTTGTAACGAAAGTAAAGTTTTTAATATTATCTCACCTTTGGATTTCGATTTTTTTCCAGACTTGTTTTGTGGCTGCCATGTCTAGACAACGATGAAAGCAAATAAAGAAAATAACTTTTCACAGGCAGGATCTTCCACGGCTATGGCGAGGACAACAAAAAGGAGTATGGAAGCTGATATAAAATATTAACTGCATCGTCCAATAATAAAAAATAATAATCATCAGAATCACAATCCGCCCACTACTTTGCTGGCCAATGGCTAGGCTAGGTTTCCAAGGTAGAGGAAAAAGGATGCTAATGTCGAGAAAGGACATGGTCTTTGTTAGACAACATAAACTTAATTGTGACCGTCTGGTGCATCTTAAGTATCGTATTTTCAGATTTTTTGCAGATTTTTATTGCTGTGGATAATATAAACATTATTATGACGCCAAAGTTTATTAAATTGTTTGCCATTATCCTAGGTCATTGTTAGCCGTGGGAAAGGGATTTTTAAGTAGTATAGAGGATATTTGAAAAAGGATATAAATTTTATTGCAATTTTTATCCAGAGCCTTTGGCATAGATATTATTGAAATATTTTTAATCCAAATATCATCCCTTTACTAAAAATATCCTTTTTTGTAATTCTGCCATCTATCCCTCCATTTACCAAATCAACCCGGAAAAATATCAGCAATTTTTTTTTTTTTTTTTGAAATAAAACTGTTGATATGCAAGAAATATTGTTGTGTAATTTTATTTCACATTTTTTGCCAGCTCAACCGAAAAGAGGACTCAACTATCCTTTTTGTCATCCTTTGCAATTTTTTGATGAATTTGTTCAGTTAACAATTCACTTGGGCTCCCCGGTTGGATTTTTTTTTTGAGCCACCAAAAAAACTTGGAATGTGAAAAGGGGGAATTCATCAATGTTTAGGGGAAAATGTTGCTTGTTGTTTTTTTTTTTTCCTTTTTTTTTTTTTTTTGAAATAATAACCCAACAACAACTAAAACAACACCAACGAACAGTAATTAATTATGAATTTATGAAAGCTCTTAATCCATGAGTTTTATATCCTCCACCTTGGAAAGGAGGTGACCAATTCGAACAAATCTAAAATTTGATGCTATTTCCGATATTTTTTCCGTTTGTAACATCCCCAAATATTCGTCGTAGACCCCATAATGTATATTCATAATCAGCATAAAATTCTAAGCCGATTTAACAATCTCCGTCTGTCCGTCCGTCTGTCTATTGAAATCACGATACAGGACACATTATTTGACGTAGAGCGTCAAAATTTAGCAGAATAATTTGTATTGTGTCTAGGATGGTTGGCATTGAAAATGACATACATCGGTCCACGTTTTGATATAGTCCCCATATAACCGTACCTTCCGACATTCGGTATTTTGATGATTTTTGCCGCATTTTGTAATGGATTTGTTTGAAAATTGGTATTTGTTGGTCATAGTGGGTTCTAGCTCCGGTGGCGAAACATTGCATGTATAAACCCACGTTTTTGGTATAGACCCCATGTAGCGGTAGCTCCCGATATTCGGTATTTTGATGATTTTTGCCATATTTTTTAATGGATTTGTTTAAAAATTGGAATTTGTTGGTCATAGTGGGTTCTAGCTCCGGAGGCGAAACATTTTTTTTTGTATAGGTCCACGTTTTTGTATAGCCCCCATATAGCGGTAGCTCCCGATATTCGGTATTTTGATGATTTTTGCCAAATTTTTTCACGGATTTGTCTAAAAATTGGTATTTGTGGATCATAATTGGTTCTAATGTTTTCATTACCCCAGGGTGGAGGGTATTAAAAGTTCGACCTGGCCGAACTTAATGTGTTTTTACTTGTTTTTAATTTCATACAAAAAGGGGAGGTCAGTAAAGAGGAATATTTTGAATTTTTTTAAATATCATCCGCCAAATGTCGAGTTTTATACACCCAGCCATATGGCTAGAGAGGGGCCAAAACGTGCTTCATCAAAATAACGGTTTAAAACCCTTTGTCCCTTCGAACCAAATCCGTTTCAGGGCATTTGGAGTGGATATAGAGATGTCCGTACGTCTCTCTGGCTGGGAGTTTCGCACGATAACTCTCCAAGGGATTTTCCGATTTAATCCAAACTTGCTACATCGTAATATTACTGTCAAACTTAGATCGAGTTCGGAGATTTACAATATCAGTCCACTCCTTCTGGTACCTGCCCCAAAAAATGTCGAAATTAAAAAAAAATATATATATTTTACTGCACAGAAAGAGAAAGAGTTGTCCGATTTTGCTCCAACTTTTCAAATTCTTATATTTCCAACAGTGCTACTTCAGCTGCGAAAATGATCAACATCGGTCCTACAAAGGGTCAATTATTTTATAATTCTTATTAAAAGTTATATAAGAGTCCGCTTATCTTCAAATTTTACACATCACAATATTTTTATTAACCAAAGGTCTGGTGTGAAGGTGGAATATCTCGATCCACTCCTTCAGGTACTTCCCACAAAAAAGTTCGAAATTTTCAAAAAATATATTTTTGCACAGAAAGGGATAGGATAATCCGATTCCAACTTTGCGAGTCCTAATATTTAAATCAGTGCGAAGTCAGGTGTGAAAATGGACAATATCAGTCGACCCCATCAAGTACATCCCCCACAAAGGGTTAAAATTTTGAATATTTGTAACTCTAAGGGTTAACATTTTGAAAAACCAAAACGATCATAAAATGCGAAATAAGCATCCGGCTGCCTTCATATTTCATGCATCCCATGATGTCTTCTTAAACAAGATCTGCTCTGAAGATGGGATATGTCGGTCCACTCCCTTTGGGACCTCCCCCCAAAAGGTCAACATTTTATATAATTATAACTCTTATAAAATGTGATATACGAATCCGATTGTCTTCAAATTACACACATCACAATATTGTTATTATTCTGAGTTCTGACGTGAAGATGGGATATATCGGTCCATTCATTCTGGTACCTCCCCCACAAAGATGAACATTTTTAAAACCATGAAGTTTATGAAACGCGAAATTAACATCCGATTCCATTTAAAAAAGATACATCTCAATATTTCCATTAACACAAGATCTGTTATAAAGATGGAAGAGATCGGAACTTTTCTTCTGGTACCTCCCCCACATAGGGTCAAGATTTTGGAAAACAAAGCGCTCAAAGAGAATATTTATATTATCTCCTAATTGTCTTTTTTTATCAAGAGAGTTCGTGAGCCCCTGACTGCTGAACTTTGCTCACCTGTAAATTCGTATCCTTTTCAACATTTTAAATCAATTCCATCAATTATGTCCTCCCCTTGCGACCTACTCCAATTCACTTTAAACATCATGCCTGCTTTCAATTGAATGCCCCTCCACCCTCCATTTGTCACTGATTATTAGGCGACACAATGGCCTTAATGTTGAAATAAAAATCCATTTGAGAATTGATAAAAATCCTTTTGGAATCCATAAAAATAAACAGCAAACTACTCCAACAAGGCATTCAAGCGTTCAGTTCATTTGTTGGGGCATTCCTTTGTTCCGCGCCATTCACACGACCAGGCAGTCAGCTAGTCAGTTGGATTGTCGACCATCAGTTACTCCTCCCAAAAGCATTCAGGCCACTGTTATTCCTATTTGAGCTTGGCTGGGAACGACTCACTCCGTTTATCTCTGTTTAAAATTTTGCAACAACAACAGCAACAACATGTAGGAGAAGCAGCTGTGACGGATCCAGTAGTGCCCGGCTGGGCCCGGCGTTCATTCAAATG